GATGATGATGATGATGATGGTGGTGGTGATGAGGATGATGAAGATGATAATGATGGGGGTGATGAAGATGATGATGATGATGGTGGTGATGATGATGATGATGATGATGATGATGGTGGTGATGAGGATGATGATGATGATGATGGTGGTGATGAGGATGATGATGATGATGATGATGATGGTGGTGGTGATGAGGATGATGAAGATGATAATGATGGGGGTGATGAAGATGATGATGATGATGGTGGTGATGAGGATGATGATGATGATGATGATGATGATGTAACTGTCTGTCCCTCAGTAAGCTGCTGTTTACGTTTCCTGGCTGGTCAGCAGGAGTCACTGTTCTGCACCAGGTGAGGAACAGCTAACGGACTCTGTTAGCTGACTTCTTTAAAAAGTAAAGACTCTGAACTGAAGGGCTTTTATTTTGAAAAGGCCCACTCATAACGACTTCCTTCCCCAGAGTCCTGCAGTGGATGTGGTCGGTGTTGGCACGGCGACAGGGCGCATCATCATTCACAACATCCGACTGAACGAGACGCTGATGAGCTTCAYGCAGGACTGGGGACCAATCAGCACGCTGGCTTTCAGGACAGGTACGATGCAGGTGTATGAGGCCCYGCCTTCCAATCAGATCACCTCATTGATTAGAAACACGTTCTGTCTTCACGGGATGTGTGTGTCCTCTGCCACAGACGGGCCGCCCATCCTGGCGTCCGGCAGTCCTCAGGGACACATTGCATTCTGGGATTTGGACCGCCGTCAGCTGGTCAACCAGCAGAGACACGCCCACAGAACAGCTGTTTCTGGAGCTTCCTTCCTCCACGGAGAGCCGCTGTTGGTCACCAACGGAGCCGATAACGCCATCAAGGTATTTTAGAAAAAACCTTTATTACAAAATAAAACCCTAACAAAACATTACTACAGAGAGACAAAACATCACTTTAAGAAACACAGTTTCTACAACAAAGTAAAAAAAACAAAGCAGTTATTTAATGAGCAGAGAGCTAAAGGAGAGTTCTCTGTCTGAAACCTGGAAGAGAATATTCTTAAAACTCCACACATTAGAAAAACCACTTTAGTACTTTTTCAACAAAAAAATAATCTAAATCTATCTGTTAGCGTGCCCTGAGCATCTTTTTAAATAAAAGAACAACATCCACATCATTAGGTTGTTCAACTTTGTTTTTCTGACTAACATGAACGGCCATCTTTGCTGTTCCAGAATAAATTAAACAGTTGACATTTATCTTTATGCTTCCTTGAATATCTGTGTCCAAGAATGAACATCTGTGTGGAGAAGGTTTCATGACRTMGTGTAAAACTCCTCTCAGGAAAAGAAAAAGAGTCTAAACGACTGCACAGCATGAAACAGTGGAACACAGTTTGTTTGTGGGAACAAAATGGGCACTCAGAGCTCACTGTGGGGTTAATAACTGATACAAAAGAGTTCACAGCTATAGCTCCAGGCAGAATTCTCCACTGCAAGTCTGCAACTCTTTTTACAAGCGGTGGCTTGTAGGATGCTCTCCACTCAGGACCAACATCTTCTCTGAGAGCAAAGTGAGACCTCCAAAATGTGTCAGTCCTACTGCTGAGCTTGTCTTTATGTAAGACTTGAACAAAT